GAGTGACGACGAAGACAGTCAGCGCAACAGGATTTACTGGGGTTGATAAGAAAGTCGAGGCTGAAAGAAATTTACCGAAGCGAGTGGGACGCCATTGGGGACTTGCAGAACAGAACGTCGCGCGCTTGACTGACGTCTATGACAATTCACACATAATTACATGTAGGAGTATTTATGTATGCTCAGCTATTATTGCTGCGCTTCATTCGCACGCGTTTCCGTTCAGTGAGTTTATTTCATTTTTAACTTTTTGTTCCATTTTTCCCGTCTTTCATTTGCGGAGATTTTTCCCTACAAATTTACAACTATCGCAAGGTCATGCCAAGTGAGGACAAACTTTTGCTTTTCGGATGCATATGTATATATCTCTGTGCGCCGAGGCATAAGGACAGTGAGTCCGTACATTTTGGGGCATGTCAAAAAAGGTCAACATGCGAATGTTACCAGTTCATGTTAGTTTAGGCATACACACATGCTTATCGAGGTGTGTGTGTCTGAACACGGCATGACCGGTACATGTGTGTGTGTGTGAAAGTTTTTTTTGTTTAATATATCACCAATGGGATTTTTATGGCGTTGATCGGCTTTTCTCCGCTTCTTTTTATGCGTCGTTCTAATTGCAATCGCTCTTGTTTTCATTGCTGTTGTGGCTGGTTTTATTGTTGTTGTGCCACAGCTCACATACATTGTTGTGTACATAAGTCACTTGTGGCCTCAATGCAGTGGCTGTTACTGTACGCAGTTTATTGTTGTTGTTGTTGCTATTGTTCACTCTTCATTCATTTGCAATGACACATTTGTGTTGCCGCAGCAGCAAACGAGATGTTAACGGTAGTTTTTGTTGATTCTTGTTGTTTTCTTCTTCTATTTTTGTTGTTCCACATTTTCCCTTTCTACTTTTCATGTTTACATTTCGTGAATGATTTATTCGCGCACTGCACACCCCTTCTTCGCGGGCACAAACACAAATAAGCAAAAACAAGAACAAAAATTTCAATCTTCTCTTCAGCGTTCTGGGCCAGTGAAAAATTCACTTTGTTTTAGTCAGTTTGTTGTTGTTGTTTTTGTTGTTTAATGCTTGTTTATTCATAGCATCTGCCTTGTTTGGTTATGAGTGCGCGGCAAAAGACTTCTTGAGATGTCTTCAATTTGCATTTCAAAGCGTTTTGACATCTCTTGACAGTCCAAAATTAAATCTTTTTCGTGGAAACCGGATTCCATTTGAGGCTTACGATATTTATTTATTTATTTTGACTGGGCGAATACTACTGCGAGCATTTTGTGAAGCTTTTCCGCTTGGAATACAAGACTTTTTACATGTAGAATGTCAAATTATTAACTGTCTTAAGCAGACGCAAAGCATTCAAAGCAAAGAAACCAAATAGTCTCCCGAATCGTGCTTACGAAGTACCCATTTTATAGTCATTAAAGTGAAAAAAATGTACAATTGACAGAATTTTCATCAGGAGTAAAATTTTGTAAAATGACCCGCGTAAAGACCATAGACACCCTCATACATAGCAGCCCTCGACAGCGCGAAAAGAAGCTGCCTCTACGCCGATATGTCTGACTTCGGTATCCCCGAAAAGCTCTTACGGACGTATACACTGTGCAAAACGAGGCTTCAGACATGGTGATTCATCATCGTGCGACTTCTTTAATCTACTGCTGGAGAAACTAGCACGAGCGGTAGTGCTGAATAGAGAATGCCACTGCTGGCGAACACCGATGATATTGGCATCATTGGCAACAAGCGGCTGAGAAAGAAAATTGAATATATTCTCATAAGCACTAGGCTCGCATACAAAACTGGGCATAACCAATCCCATTGGTCTTATCCCGATACCCTTGAGGCATCTGCGGCTGCTTAGCCCTCATTCGCAACCGCTGGAAGAATGAAATGTAAACTGTGATAGATGTGCATATACATACACGTACATATATGCAGAGGTAACTACGCCTTTTACATTCCATTTTCGTTCCATTTTTACTTTTAATTTGACAACCTGGGCGGGATATTCTGGGTAGCAACAACTCGCTTTAATTAGATTTTGTTTAATTCGTAACATTGGTGAACACTTTAGCGGAGACATATGTGTTTGCACACCCTGCAGGAAAAATACTAGCTCATTTAGGCATGGTGAATTTTCATTTAAACAAACAAACAGAAGAAAAAAGACGAAAATCAAATCGAGTTTCCTTAAAGTGAGGTTCGAGCCGCCGTAATCCCCAGGCGCTACAGCGCAGTCAACCGCGGAATGCATCGCTCCGGTTACTGGTGAGCTGCTACACAAATATCCAGGTGGTATGACTTCATTTTCAAAACCACAAAGTATTTAACTTGTCTACATTCTCACTGCGGGGTACTAACATACTTGGTATCATACATATATACATGCAAACACAATTTCATATATGAATAAACATTTAACTGAAAAATTAAAATTTCACGAATTTCAACACTAAAATAATTTCAGCACACAAATGCCGGCATGCATCCCTAACTTCCGCTTCAGCTCCGGAATGTGAATAACTGTCAAACATTCCCGTTAGGATGAGTAATTCTGGCGAAAATGCAAACTCCAGGTTACCAAAGTACAAACATGTCAACGCTGAAACGCCGCAGTGAGATTTTTAGTGTGTCAAAAGTTTAATTGGATTTAAAATTTTTCGGTTATGTGAAACACTCTGCTGAAGTGTGTTGTAGAATTTAATAAAAAAAAAATAAATGCAATGAAATATGAAGATAATTCTGGTTCTTTGTATGTTGCATAAAATATCTCTAGATATATATACATATATACATAGAAATGATTTGAGGTGAAGTTTAGAAACACTGTTAAATATTTAAGTACTATTTTGCGAAGCTACTAGAATTGAAAATTTCTCTCACTCATAAAATGTTTTCCTGTTGGTTAAATTTCGAAAATCGGCATTAAAATGACTATATCAAATATAAACCGTCATGTCCGAACGAAGCGGCTCTATGGCGGCTGTTCGGTGACTATATTTATTTGTACAAGGAAAAACTGCACACTTTCGGGTTCTTTTTGGACGAGCTTTCGACCCAAAATCGCAAGTTCGAAAGGTCAGTCGTGGGACTAGTTTGCGTACAATTAGATGGGCAGACAGACAGATGAACCACTCCCCATTCTGATGCGATTGACAGACTAACTTGTTCAAGTAAAATCCATTTCAAAGGCAGTTATTTGGCAGTAGAAACGAATTAAGAGATTCTATCACTGACAAATGAATATGAACCACGGTAACTTACACTATGTATGTGTATTTATTTCTATTTGTATAAACATATGTTTGTCTAAACGCAAATCTGCCACTTCTCGCCAAGAACGCGATTAATTATTGCCTTTTTCACTTTTGCGTAATCAAAGTGTTCTTTCTCTTGTCCTCGTCTCCTCCAACATTACACACGTTTAAAGATATTTTTGAATAAGCAACAACAACAGCGGCTAGGACGAAATGGGTACTCAAGGTCCGGAAATAATATAAAAACTTTACAACGCCAAAGCAGTCGAGCTGGTGTGTGTGAGTGTGGAGTCTCTTATGTGTTTGTGTATAGTTCAGTTTTCTACTCAGTCAGGTGTTGGAAAAATTGTCACAATTTAGGCACGAAAGGATTGCTCTTTTCATTGTTGTTGGCCGAGTGGCCATTTATTTACTTTATTTGTTATTGTTGTTTTACCTGGTGTCAACTTCTTTTCAGTACAAATACATTTCTTTAAATGGAGCTTTTTAGGCTAATAGCGACATCAACTCGGGAAAATTTTCAGAAATTTAAATAGCATTAAACAAATACAAATTTATTACCATATTTACGTAATTTTTACTTATTATATTTTATAAAATAAAAATTAAAATAAAAAAAAAAATAAAAAAAATTAAAAAACCGCGATCAAAGATTCGGAGCAAGTATATAGGTGGGTACAAGTCATTGCAGCATAGAACTTGAATGGTAATGTTTGAAAATTCCATTTAATATTCCATTCAAGTTCTTCAGGAGTGCCTCAGCAAATCCGTCCGATTTTTTTTTCACAACAACAAAATGATATTTCTTCTTTCTTTCCTAACGGGAACTTCTCACGATGGTAAAAGGAATTTAAGGACCATTACATTAACATAATCTTTTTCAAAACATTGGTGAGACCTGTTCTCGAACAAGGCCCGGTAATTTTTAACCCGAGGCATCAAAACTACTCTGATAAAATAGAACCCATTCAAAAACGATTTTTCAATTTTACCCAGAGAAATTTGCATTTGGGTCAATGGGGAAAATTTCCCCACTTATATTAGTCGGCTGAATCTAATTAAGCTTCCCAGTCTTGATGGTCGTAGAGAAATGCTCTGTGTAATTTTCATGATATAAATAATAGCAGGCTCAATTTCGAGTCCCTTAGTTTTTTCTTTTTCCATTATTTAATGCAAAAATATTTGCTCCTTTGCAAAAGAAACTTGTGAAACGAACTTTGAATTTGTTTTGATTTCAACACTCATTCCAGCCCATTTGACATAATTAACTCGCTCTTTCATATCAAGAAATCTTATCGCGTCTCAGTTAATTATCAAATAACATTTTATATGTGAATTAAGTATATTTTAAAAATGAGCTGATAAATGTGTGCTTTGTAGTTAAACTGTTTTAGTTGCCGGAATCGACTAATTCTCATCAAGATGAGCAGTTCTATTTCTTGTTATGGAATTAAACTAGTTTAGAAGAATTTTAAAAACTGTATTGAGTTTAACAACAGTTTTAATATTAATTTCGAAATTTCAACATCCGAGGCAACGCTGTTAATGATTATGCGGTTTCCTGTCAGACAGCTTTCGAAAATAACACTCAAGTGATTATTAAGGACTGCAAATGGTAATTCAGTTAAGAAAATGTGAGTTCTTCGGTCTGAAAACTTTAATTAAATATCTGTACAACATTTTTATGCGATAACTGAATATTGATCATGCACCGAATAAACAATTCAACTTACGCACAAAAGCACATATCACACTTGTACTCAGATCAGAATCGTTTCAGAACCAGCTAGCGTCATGCAATATGAATTATTTTTATTTTAAATAAATTACTTTAAGTTTTATTCTCCAATTTTCAACACCTTTTTGATTTTTATTCTGCATTTATTTAGACGCTGCTCAATTTTGCCGGTGAGGAGCGTAACGATTCGTTCTAACTCACGTTCCGAACTGAATTGAATTGACGCTGCGACTAAAGTGAAAACCGAACCAGAATCAGCAAAGAGCAGTGAATCGAGGTGGGAGGCGGCAGGCGCAGATGCAGAAGCTGCGTTGGCTGATGTTGCGGCTACTGGTACTGACTGCTACCCTCTTTTTCTCTATTTTGGGCGGTATTGAGGCTGTTATTGCTGCATCCTTGGGCACAACAATGTTTATTCACGTGGTCCCAGCGCTGTTAAACTTTGACAGAATTCAGGATCCCTTTGAATTAAAATAATTTAGTACTCTATTGCCGCAATCAAGCTCCAATTTTTTTGTAGAGCAATAAAGTTGAATAAAGTTTAATTAAATAATAAAACAACAAAGATAGAGATTTATAAAGATATATTAAGTATTATATTTTATTTATGTATAAAAGATAGCAACACTGTTACTGAAGTGTACTAAAATCTCCACTGTTATGCTCACGTACTTTCACTCTCATGCCCGCTCTCTTATTGTCAGCACCATGTCACGTGATTCACCCAACCGGTATTAAGCTCACAACATTGTAAACAACAAACAGGGAGAAACAGGTACTCAGTACTCGCAAAAACCACGTGTTCGAAGTAAAAGCCGAATTACAATATATACTCAATATGTAAACAAAAGCCAATTTCAGAGAAGAAAATATGTTGTGTGAGAGAGAAAAAGAGAGCTGGCTTCCTTTCCTTGGAAACATATGCAATAAAAGTTTTATTAACGGAATTCTTAACGCCTTGTGGAGAGTATTTATTTAAAGTGGAAAGTCTATCCCTGGGATAACGAAACGAGTGTGGCTTCGAAAAATCATTTGATGGTGAATGTTGTTTCAATCAGATGACAATAATTGCTTTACTCAGTTACTTCTATATATACACACATATATTTTATTGAATTTCTTCCTAAATGAAAATTGTTATAGTAAAAATAACATTAAATATTAATATATTTTATTTAATACTCAAACACACTCTCTGAAGTTCATTTCGCCGCTTCTCACAAACAGAAATAGTTTGGAAATTTGGAAAATTTTTGACACTAAACCTGTTTGCTTAGAAATCGTTGCACTCATAAAATTGTGAACTGTTTTGGGGGTATCTTCTAAGCAGATGCTATTTTTTTTAATACACGTATGGATCCATTAAAATATTTGTTTCGAGCCGTTTTCCTAGGCAGTAGAAGTAAGAAAAAAAAAACTTGCAAGGCATATAATAAAATGGAAGGAGTTGACATTTTTTACTTTTTTTGAAACCTACGCTGATAGGTTTTCTTTCTCAACTATAAACGAAATGTCCGTGGTTTGAGTTCCAAGTCATAGGGATACCCAAGCAACTGCGTGGTCGATGAGCCGACCTTATTCTCGCATTGCTTAGTATTGCTTGCAACATTAATCTTCTGACTGATATGCATTCAAACGTAGACAGAGCCAATCCAGTCAGCTGCTCATCTTCTTGGATTCGGTTTAAATTTTTGTGGGCGAATAGGGAGGAGATAATTTCTTATAATTTTTTAAAGTTGTAATCCAACAATCATGAAAGGCATATATATACTCGATGAAGTCCACTATGAGGGGATGGGAAATATAATATAATAAGTGATTCTTGAATGATCAAACGATTCAAAATATTACATATGAAAATTCTCGTCATGTTGTTATTTAAAAATGGTAGACTTTCTTAAGAGAAGAAAATAGCACGAAAATCCGAAACACGTTTAATGTCAAATTGCTATGAAGCCCACTGCGAAGAGCGAATTAAACCACCTTTAAACTATTGTATCATGGTTAAATCTATGAAGCTTGTATAACAAANCTGACTGATATTCATTCAAACGTAGATAGAGCCAATCCAGTCAGCTGCTCATCTTCTTGGATTCGGTTTAAATTTTTGTGGGCGAATAGGGAGGACAATCACCTTTAAACTATTGTATCATGGTTAAATCTATGAAGCTTGTACAAAAAAATAAATATGGCAGAGACATCAACTGTTTTAAGCAAACATAAAAAAGTTGGTAAATAAAATAATGTGAGTAATTTTAATTTTATAACATATTTCTCTACTTGCACCAGAACACTCAGATGTTTGTAGGAGAGAAAACTAACTGTAAAGTCAGAAATCACATTTACGTAAACATATCGATGCATGCACATCTGCATGTAGTCCATTTGCATTATCAAATAATGCTTGCAAACATTTTGTATTCCCTATCCATTTAGGGCCCTTATATGCAAGAAATTTTAATTAAAATAAACGAGTATACGAGTAAATGTAGGTTTGTGCGCGCAAAAACATTTATATCAACGAAATTACAATAAAGCAACAAATCTATAAATGAACTCTGCTCCAAATATGTATGTATTACAATTAACTTTATCTTTAAAAGGTTGTATTAGCCACCATAATCTCTGATGTTTTATAAAATATAAACATAAGAAATAAAATAACAAATAAAATTATTTAAGAACAAATTAAAATTAAAATTAAAAAAATGAAATAAATTTAAAAAAATTAATTAAAATATAATTAAATCTAATTAAAACTAATAAAACCAAATTTTATGCAAATAAAAAATTTAATAAAAGGTATATTTATTAATTTATAAAATTAAATTAAATTATATTAAGTTATGTTAAATGAAGTGAGTTTAATAACAAAATAAAGTAATTCAAAAAAAATTAAATTAAATGAAACAAAAAAAATTAATTTAAGATAAATTTAATTGAAATAATTAAAGTAAATTAGGTAAAGTTAAATTAAATTAAGTTAAAAAAAAATTATTTTTAATTAAATTAAATAAAGTAAATTGAAATATAATGTCACAAAATAATATTAAATGATATCAAAATGAAAGTAAATAAAAATTTTAAGTAAAATTAATTGAATTTACTGATCGGAAATAAATTACAATAAATAAAGTAAAACAAAATAACATCTAACTTTCTTAAATATTCCTGAACACGTACGTGAAATTGTATAATACGTTGAATAAATACTTTTTAATATTATTTGTACTCAATAGCTAACCCTAATTATAAGAGACTGCATCACCTCGTTGCTGAAATGGTCACACTCACTATTTGCTCTACTTATACACGGTCTTTCCAATTTTACGATTATGTGGCATATTTTTTGCTTTTCCCAAAAGACCTTTCTGCAGTTAATCAGGGTAATATCATTAAAAACCCGACTATCAGCAGACGAATGTGTGTCGGTTAGGGAAGCAGATGACAATGATGATGTCATGCGAATGAAAGAACGGTGGAGTGGCCAAGCAATGTGTCCTTTAACCACCACAACTTCGTGATTTTATAAGAGCTCCTTATAACTATTACTGTTGACCGTGTGTAAAATGGATAAAACATGCGTTTCAAGATCGACACTTGAAAATTTGGCTTTCAGGCTTCATTACCAATACAAATTATTTCTTTTATCATTATATTATTTGAAATTATTTTGATAACAAATAACATTTATTCATTAACGAAGACTGTCATGGAAATACATTTCACAACAAAAATTTTAATATAATGTTTCTCTCTTTATAAACTTTTGATAAATTGCAAAGAGCAAATTACTTTGCCTTTGGCGCAGATGGAATCGAGAAAATTAAATATTTCGTTTTGCATACTTCAAATGCTATTTAGATGGTAATTGGATTAGAGGAATTTGTTTGTGAAATTATCGGAATTTCAAATTTATATTCCGAAATTCACTTACAAATGAAAGCCCCTCCGCTCGCTGAGGGCGCTAAATACCAGCAACTGCAAATGTTGCATGCAAAAGTTTTGCAGCTAAGCGCAATTTACGCGTTGCCAACCACTCGAAATGCAGTCAAGCAAACGAAAGCGAAATAAAATGCAATGAAATAGAAATTTGCAGTTTTGGTTGCTCGCTAAAATCCGGAAACTTTCATTGCCTTCATTCTTGGTTTTCCCCTCAATATTTATAGCAAAAGCATTATCCATTTGTTCGTACTTCAAATGGACTCGAGACATTGAGCCAACCGAGTATGTGGGGCGGAAAACGTTTGGGCGGTATCGCAGGCAAATAACTCATTGTCGAGAGCATTCAAATCCAACAGTAATCTGTACAACAACAAGAATAAGAATGGTCGTTGAAATCAGAAAAAGGAAACAATTTCCGTTAGTCGCACGCAGCACGTAGCCAAGCTAAGCTATTGAAGGTCACATGCTGTGGAGCCGAAGTGGCGGATTTTCGAACTATGCGATTGCCTTTAGTTGTTGTTATTGTTGATATTTCTTTGTCGGAAAATATGTTGTGATTGCCGCTGTGGGTGGCTAACACTTTTTCGAATTCTTGAACCTGAGTATCTATTGCCAAAAATTTATTTAATTGTAATTCAGGAATGTGCTTATGAATGCTCAGCCAGCAGCTATTTATTGTTTATATTATTTATCATTATATTTATAAGTGCCTTTAAATTAATATGATAATTCATATGGGTGTGTTTGACATAAAAATATGTATGTATTTATGTTTTGATTATTTTGAAATGATCTTTTTTTCGATACACTCCTACTACCCCTACCTCAGCTTTAATTCACCGCTAAGTAAGCCCTTAAACATCTAAGTATGACATTAAAATATTCGGAATTTTCAAATATATAGAAAAATTATTAAAAACTTATTGCAATTTCTTATATATATATAATTGGCGCTTTGTGACCGCTGAAGCGACTTTCCGCCGTTTTTCCAACAAATGGAGGGACCCACAGCCTATACTAAGCGACCTCCGAACGGCTGATGGCTTTTATGGGGAGCCTTTATTTCATGTCAGAAATATACTCGGAGGAGTTAAATTTTGATTTAAACAAATTTTCTATAACTTTTGGATGTCGGTCGCACGGGGATTTGAACCCGAAGCTTACGAATGGCAGTACGCATTGCTAACCACTCAGCCACCGCGACCGCCGCAATTTCTTATAGTTAAAAGAATTTTGAAATAGCAAT